AATTGACCAAAATATAAATGTGGATGCCAGACTATGGTTAAAAGCATTCGATTTCCTAGATTACGTCTAAATTTAAATATAATTTCAGTTAAAACAGTAAAATGGTCATTATTTCACACTGTTTGTAACTCCTAAAATGTAATGATATTTTAAGGGTCACATTGCCTGTAAAACTTATTACAGCATTCTGGTTCTTATATTTTTTGTCAATAAAATATATTTTTCAATGATTTTTCATTTTTTTATTTTGATTTTTTAAAAAACTATCTACAGGAACTTCTTCGTAATTAAAAGTGTAAAAGTTAAAATAATTCTGCACATTATGATGTATTTTATATTAAAATTGGTTGAGCAAGTGTGAAGATATAGCCTGTTAAAACTTTGAAGTCGATTTTCTCAAAATGGTAAAAATACGACTTACATCACTATGGAATTAGGGCGACGAATTGTACAACAACGTTAAACTGACCAGTTTAGATTTTGCTTTTTATAGTTCCAAGGCGGTACCAAAATGCGTTCTTCTCCGTCACATGTGCTTATGTAATAGTTATAGTACATGGAACAAGTTAGTTACGAGGATATAACACTGGCTTGGGCGACATCAAGGGATGTTTCTGCTAAAACAAGGCGAGGCCGTTAGGCCTCTGTTTTTTGCAAAAACATCATGAGATACTGTTTTATCGCAATGGCATAATGTTTGTTTTTTGTTTTTGTTTTGTAATAGAAATAAATTAATAGAAAAATAAATCGTTAGCTACATTACAGTTATTTATGATAAGGCAATTTTTTCAAGTTGTTTTTGCCGCCGTAAAAAAGATATACAAAAGACACCCAATGTTAGAGGTGGATTGTAAATTGTTACTAATATTGATTCAAGATTAAAGGGGTTTTTTTTTCAGTGGAAATAATTCATTCAGCGGCTGTACCTTTTGATTAAATGAGAGTAAATTTCATTTCATTATTTATCTTTGTTTATATTTATTGCATTTATTTATTTGTCTAGGTCTATTTTATTTATTGATTCCATTTTTTTTTTGCTTCTGGGAATGTTCGTTAACACTACCCCATTGGGGCCTCTGTGAAAAAACTAGAATGATATATTAACAAGGTGCGAAAAAACTCAACCGGTTGAGTTCTTTCTTTTCGCACTTGTTATATATCAATGCAGTTTTTTTTTCACAGAGGCTCCAATATGGCAGTGGAAACGAACATTCCCAGTAGCAAAAAAAAATGGAATCAATAAAATAAAATAAATACAATGAAAAATATAAACAAAGATAATTAATGAAATGAAATTTACTCTCATTTAATCAAAACATACATGTAATGTTAAGTCATTCGCAGTAATTCGTCAAGAAAAACGAACTCATTAACTTAAATATCAATCTGTCTGCGCCCTTTAAATGAGTTGAATTGTATCATATTTCTTAGTCTTTCTTGTAATGAATGTAAAAGATAAATAATGTAGTGACAGATTAATGAGCGTGTTAACATATTAAAGATTGGCATAAAAAGTTGTCAATTTGTTTCACCGGATCAGAGACGTTCCACTTATGAATGAAGGGATTTTAGTTATTCCCCTTTGGTAGTTAGAGGCTATGATAAGCTTAGTTAAAAACAACTTTAACCTACCTACATTCCTAGTGCAACACTAAATATGGATGATTTGGACATTGTTCTTGTAGTATTGCCGTGTTGACTTCCACAATATTAATAAAGTTTAATATTAAAATTAATCAAATATATGTATTGCTTTTGTGGTGCACTGTTTCTGGTCCTTGATAACTTAAACAAAATGTGGTCCAATAAGTTTCTTGGATCAAAACTAGCCTTGCCCTTGGGTCAATTTATTGTATGAAAAAAAAGTAAAACAACTGTTTTGTAAATTGAAATAAATGCTATAGCATAGATATTGTGTGTATAATTGCATATTCGGTCACAACCAAGTTCATTCAAATAATGATTGACATTGCGAAGAGTCTTTTTTAAAATACCCTTTTTTGAAATGCAATGCTTATTTGTCAAGTATTAGTTATGTATCATCGTCTTATTAGCCTCCTCCATAATTAACGAAATCTGATTACATATCAGTTGACCAAGATTGTTCTACCTGAAGACCTATTTCTCTTTTTTCAAGCTTTTTTAAAAATCATAATTATACACATAAAGTATTATGTACTGCAAATGTTTATATGCATACAAGTATTCATTAAATGTATGCATTCATTTTTATTGAAAGAGATTGGCTTAGACTTTATGGGAAATAAATTTCTAATTACCTCCCTTTATTTACATGAAATGCAAATTTGGTAATATCTTTCCAAATAATGCTTTAAAGAACTTACAATATTCATAAATCTTCATTTGAGCGTCATATTCATGATTAAATACATTAAAAAGTTGAGTTAAAGGATCAATAAATTGTAATTTTAGAACAAAATATAACGTTGAAGTGTTTATGTTTTATCATTTTTATGTCACCATCGACTATTGTCTAACCAAAATTCAACAAAACGGATATAATTGTTATCCCAGACTACAATAAATGATATTCTATTTAGTTTTGAATTCTTTTACTAGATATTTATTTATATTGATCACATAAAATGATTATTGAATCATTTTCTCTTTAAAAAGGTAATTGTTGTATTAAATGAATTAGAATAATAAAGTCTTAATCTGAGTAATTTGACAGAAACACAATCTGTCAACAATTCCATTTTAAAATATCGAAATAATTAACATAAAGTGTTTATATTATGATAACGATTCTAAGCATAATTACATGTATAAGAAGTGTTTAAAGCAATTGTTTATTCTTTAAAATAACTTATACGTTTCATCATTTACAGATGTGGCTATAACAGATGTAACAAATCAAGAAGTAAACGAAATGGCAACCGGAGGTCAGCCACAGACGCTAGATAACCGCTTATTTTTGTTTCGGTTACAAATACTAGTCATTGATGGTGGCCTCCTTGTATTGAGAACTATACTGGACCAGTCCCTGACATCTCAATGCATAACGTTCAGTGCGTGCTTGAATCAAGAAAAGTCAACAATAACACGTTTGAAAAGCCGCGGCGTTATAACCCAGGTCCAATATGACGTGTTGTTTCCAGCGGGCGGTGAAGTCCCATCTTCGTCAGATTTGGACATCACGCTGATTATTTGTCTTCTTAGAAATCTGAAATGTTTTGGATTAAATAAAAAATTTGACTGGAGGGCAACACCAGCACCAACCGATGTAACAATGGAAGCAGACATATGTCGGTTAAAGGATTTCCGAAATAAAGTAAGTATATTTGAAATGCACAACAGCAGGTGTCAAGTGCCGTGTGGCAGCCGTAAAAAGTTGCCCCGTACTTCACTTCAGTGTTGTTATATTTTCTGGTCCTTCGGGATCATTGATGCCAACACTATGAAGTGTTGAGAATTGAGTACCGCTCAAGCCGGTGCTAGGGGCCGTGAGGGATGTTGCACTTATTCATTATCCCTCGTGTACAGACTCAATCAAACCGAGTCTGCAATTCTTATGTTATTTTGTTGTGATAAATGCTTCCGAGGGATCACTTTGTTTCCAGAATTTTGTACTTCACAACAGCAGGTGTCAAGTGCCGTGTGGCAGCCGTAAAAAGTTGCCCCGTACTTCCCTTCAGTGTTGTTATATTTTCTGGTCCTTCGGGATCATTGATGCCAACACTATAAAGTGTTGAGAATTGAGTACCGCTCAAGGCGGTGCTAGGGGGCATGAGGGATGTTGCACTTATTCATTATCCCTCATGTACAGACTCAATCAAACCGAGTCTGCAATTATTATGTTATTTTGTTGTGATAAATGCTTCCGAGGGATCACTTTGTTTCCAGAATTTTATAAATTCATGCCTTGGCAATACAGAAGAATAAAAGTAAATGTATATATTGGCAATATAAATATCTACGTGTTTTAAAAGCAATGAAATACTGCCACTTAAGTTGAACTTAAATATAATTGAATCAGTCATCATACTTAAAACATATATAATAGTACAACTTTTAATATTGTCTAGACAAGAACTAATTCGGTGTGTTGCATATCTTTACAGTAGCTGTGCAGTTGTACTGTAAAGGTTTAAACTTGAACATCTTAAACAAGAATTGAATTTTTTATCCTACAAATCCGATGCATTTTTTTCGAGTTATCGTTACTTTCATTAAAATTCCGGGCTTTAATTCATGTCATGAAGTAATCCATCACGGCATTATCCGAGGTTATATTGCTATCATCAAATAGGCAAAGATATTGATACTTTCATAAAATAATTAAATAAAACTGACGTCATGAAACAATCCGAAATATAATTGACGTTAAGAAACCACCCAAGATAAAACTGACATCATGAAACAGTCTGAGGTAATTGTCGGCATGAAAAAATACGAGATAATCCTGTCGTAGAGAAACGATATTACTGGTGTCGTGAAACAATCCGAGATAATACAGCCGTCAACAATCCAAGACAATAATGCTATCAAGAATCATTTCGAGATGATACTGCTGTCATGAAATAATTCGAGCTAATACTACCATCATGAAACAATCCGAAATATTACTGCAGTCATGAAATAATGCGAGCTTATACTGCCTTCATTAAAAAAACAGTCCGAGATAATACATCCTTTATAAAACAATCAGATATTATTCTTCCACAATGAAAAAATCTGAGATAATACTTTCGTCATGAAACAATAACAAATAATACTTCCCTCATGAAACAATTAGAGATAATAATGTCACTTTGAAAGAATCCGAGATATTACTTCCCTACTGAAACAATACGGGATAATACTTCCCTCATGAAACAATCCGAGATAACACTGCCACCATAAAAGAATCCTAGACAATACTGACGTCAAGAAAACAATGCGTTATAAAACTGACGTCATGAAACAAATAGAGATGAAACTGCCTCCATGAAATATTCCAAGTAAATACTTCCCTCACGAAACAATCAAATAATACTGCGAACATAAAAGAATCAAAGATTATACAGCCGTTAACATGAATTTTTTTTTTAATTTATCCGACATTTCGGATGAAATTTTTCGAGTAATCATTACTGTCATGAAAAACCCCGGGTTTTTATTAATCACATATAATCAATCACGACATAATACGAGATGTTATTACTTTCACCAAATCTGCTAAGATATTACTACTGTCATCAAAATAATCCAAGATAAAACTGCCGTCATAAAACATTCGAGTTAAAACTGCCTCCAAGAAACAATCCGAGATATTACTGAATTCAAGAAATAATCCGTTGTAATACTGCTGTCAAGAAATAATCTGAGGTAATACTGCCGTCAAGAAATAATCCGAGGTAATACTGCTGTCAAAAAATAATCTGAGGTAATACTGATGTCAAGAAATAATCCGAGATAATACTGCCGTCAAGAAATAATCCGAGATAAAACTGCTGTCAAGAAATAATCCGAGGTAATACTGCTGTCAAGAAATAATCCGAGATAATACTGCCGTCAAGAAATAATCCGAGGTAATACTGACGTCAAGAAATAATCCGAGATAATACTGCCGTCAAGAAATAATCCCAGATAATACTACCGTCAAGAAATAATCCGAGATAATAAAGACATAATCCGAGAAAAAACTGTCGTCAAGAAATAATCCGATATAATACGGCCGTCAAGAAATAATCCGAGATAATACTGTCGTCAAGAAATAATCCGAGATAATACTGCCGTCAAGAAATAATCCGACATAATCCTGCCGTCAGTAAATAATCCGAGATAATACTGCCGTCAAATAATCCGAGATAATATTGCTGTCAAGAAATAATCCGAGATAATACTGCCGTCATGAAATAATCCGAGATAATACTGCCGTCAAAAAATAATCCGAGATAATTCTGCCGTCAAGAAATAATCCGAGATAATACTACCGTCAAGAAATAATCCGAGATATTACTGCCGTCAAAAAATGATCCGAGATTTTGCTGCCGTCAAGAAATAATACGAGATATTACTGCCGTCAAGAAATAATCCGAGATATTTCTGCCGTCAAGAAATAACCCGAGATAATACTGCCGTCAAGAAATAATCCGAGATAAAACTGCCGTCAAGAAATAATCCGAAATAATACTACCGTCAAGAAATAATCCGAGATAATACTTACGTCAAGAAATAATCCGAGATAATACCGCCGTCTAGAAATAATCCGAGGTAATACTGCTGTCAAGAAATAATCCGATATAATACTGCAGTCATGAAACAATAAGAGATAACACTGCAATATAAAACAAAAAGAGATAATATAATACTGCCGTCATTAACCATCAAAGATAATACGTCCACAAAGAAACAATCCGAGATATAACTGCAGTCATAATTAGAGAAATACTGCCGTTATGAATGATCAGAGATGATACTGACACCAAGAAATAATCCGAAATATTGCTGCGGTCATATAACAATCCGAGATAATATTGCCGTCATAAAACAATTCGAGAAAATACGTCCCTCATGAAACCATCCGGGATAATACGTCCGTCATAAAACAATCCTAGATAATTCAGCAGATAAGAAAACAATCAAACCTGAAAGTGACGTCATGGAAACATTCCGAGTAAAATCTGCCACCATGAAACATTCCAAGATAATACTTCCCTCATCAAGATATCAAGATAATACTGCCATTAACATGAATATTTTTTAAAATTTTATCTGACATTTCGGATGGAATTTTTCAAGTAATCATGACTGCCATTATAAAAATTACTTTTATCAAATATGCAAAGATATGATTACTATCATAAAAATAATCCAAGATAAAACAGCAGTCATAAAACAATCCGAGTTAAAACTGTCGTCAAGAAACAATCCGAGATAATACTGCGTCATGAAACAATCAAAGATAATACTGCTGCCAAGAAACAATTCGAGATGATAATGCCGGTATGAAACAATCCAAGATAAGACTGCCGCCAAGAATCAATTTGAGTTAATACTGCCGTCATAAAACAATAAATAAGATAATTCGGCCGCCATGAAAAAAATGCGAGATATAAGTGCAGTCATTAATCAATCCGAGATAATACTGCTGACATAGAACAGTACGAGATAATCAGAGATATTTCTACCGCCATGAAACAATCAGAGATAATACTTTCGTCATGAAATAATCAGAGAAATTGCTGCTGTCATGAAACAAACAGAGAAATTGCTATTACCAAAAAACAATCCATTATAATACTGCCGTCATGAAATAATCATAGATAATACTGCAGTCAGGAAACAATGCGGGATATTACTGCAGTCAAGTCAAGAAACAATCTTAGATAATGCCAGGCTAGAAAACAATCCGAGATAATACTGCAGTCATGAATTAATCCAAGATAATACTGTCGTCATAAAATTATTCAAGATAATACTATCGTCAAGAAACAGTTTAAGATATGATTGCTGTCATGAAAAAATCCGAGATAATACTGCAATCATTAAATAATCCAAGTTAACACTGCCGTCATGAATTAATCTAACATATTACTTTTATCATGAAATAATCCGAGATAATACTGCCGTCATCAAAAAATCGGAGATTTGACTACAAAATAATTCGGGATATAACTACAGAATTGAAATAATCCGAGACATTACTGCCGACAATAAATAATCCATGGTAATACAGCCATAAAGAAACAATCCGAGATAATATTGCACTCATGAAATAATCTGAGATAATACTACAGTTATGAAGCAATCAGAGATGATACTGCGAACATGACAAAATCAAAGTAAAAACGGCCGTTACGAAATAATCCAAAATATTTTTGCCGTTATGAAACAGTCCGAGATAAAACGACCGCTTTAAAACAGTCTTAGATAATACTGCGTCATGAAATAGTCCGAGATAATACTGACGTCATGAAACATGAGACATTTCGGATGAAATTTTTAGAATCATCATTCTGCTGCAGAGTATTATTTATGTCATTTAATAATAAATCACGACATAATACGAGTTAATATTATTACCATCAAAAAGGCTAATATATTACTACTATACAGTCATGAAACAATCAGATATAATACTGTTGTCATGAAATAATGAATTACTGCAGAAATTAACGAATCCGAGATATTAAAAAATCTGAGATAATTCTGCAGTCATGAAACAATCCGGGATATTACTGCAATTAAAAACAATCCGAGATAATACGTCCGCTATAAAACAGTTCTAGATAATACTGCGGTCATGAAATTATACGAGATAATACTGCGGTCATGAAATATTCCGAG